ATAATTCGCAATGAAGAGATTGCTGTTATATTGTGAAGTAAAAAGTCTAGAAAAACAAAGTAAAAATGTTCCTGTTTGCCACTACTGTACCGATGTCAACTATCGCCAGAAGCAATGTTTCTGTTCTTGTCTTTTGATATGCTTTTCACAATAAAGAAAAACTCATTCTGTCCAGTTTCTACTTATTACTATTTTTTTTCACCATATTCAGATTCTATACGCCAAGCTAATCAACTGGCATATTGTGTTTTTGATTTTTACATATGCATTGACGAATAATTCAATACACACCCACTAATTCAGTTTCAATGAAACTGTATCGTTCGATCATTGGTATTCGTAAAAAAGACTGATGGTAGTTTTAGAAAGTCTTGAAATGAACAGAAAGCATAATCATGAATTGCCAAGAGAACTATGGATCATATGGAATACACTTAGTTGAGTCACAAAGCTGAAGGTTATCACAACGTAACCTATCTGTATGAAAAGAAATTTTTGTTTTAGAATTTGATTAATAATTTTTTTCTTTCATTTATTTCCGAATGATCGTCATAAGCATTCGTATTATATATTTGATAAGCATAAACAGGTTTAATATTTGACAAGAGCGTATCTCCTTTTTCTTGACTTTTTTCATCGTAGTTAAAATTTTTGTTAAAGACCACTTTTCAAGTAGTTGACTATATAGTCTATTGCTGATATACTCAATCATCTTGCTTGTTATTATTACCAACACAATAATGATGAAGCATGACAAGGTAGATTTATCTACATGATCGTATCTGTTCTACGTGCATTTGATAAACAAAGTATTTATTATCATTAACAGCTAAGCTAAATAGAATAACTATGCACCAGTTACGAATCAGTTGTTTCCGACTGTTTTTTAGGACATCCAGGAAAATTGTCATAACGCATTCATTAAGAGGAGCTCAGATTTGTGGAATGTCTCATTTTGTAGACAAATGCTTGTTCTATGTATTTATACGAAAGATAAACTTAAAGACTGAAAATAAAGACGCTTTACTAGCGAATTGCTGAAGAGACAAGAACAGTTATATAACTGATGTATATAACTGTATTTATAACGTGTGGTTATGGCATTTAAGAGTATTCATATTTTTGTCACAATTAATAACTCTATTCTATGTTAGCAATTTCTATTTTATCATTTTATTTTTAATTCTTAGTCGTTCAACGAATAATTATGTTATATTCCTAGTTTTGATTGAAGTTATCTTCGTATTGGTTATATTTTATTGTAAAACATACGAGTGTTGTTTATTCTAGAATTTTCATGGTTTTATATTAGTTAGTATAACACGAATACCGTTTAAATGATACCTACTTAATTTTCACTCTCAGTTGTTATACAAAATACAATAAATTAATTTTACATGAAAGAGCAAACCTAATTTCTCAACTACTTGTTAAAACTGATACACATATCATCGAATGCAAAATGTGTCCCACTACCTTTGAGTCCAGGTTGTGGTGTTCCACCAAAAGTAATAAACTCAACAATTTCTACATCAGTCCAATTGAGAACAATCCGTTTCGCTGGTGAAGCAACTTGCAATATGACATGTTCTGTATACTTAGTAATACCAGAACGTTTACCTTTTATTTGTAATGTTAAATCATTATTCCACACAGATGTTGCCATAAAAGAATATAGATTAAAACTTTTTGCTGCGTTAATGATCATAATCATACGTGCACCATCCGCATTAAATGCCGCATATTTACCACTTGTAACAGCACTGCGAAACCCAGAACCTGTCTCTGCATTGGGACCATTTGTGTAACAACTATTTGTCCATTGAAAGCCACCATAACCATTTGGCAGCCGAGCCCATGCTGAAGTCGCTGAAATGTCATCAAATTGTAGTAGTCGACCATTGGATGGGCAAGCTGGAAGAAATACACAGTATTAATTAATATTCTCTAAACAAAACACCTTATCTTACCAGAAACGGGTGTAATTAAAGGAGAAGGAGTGGTTGTAGTTAAAGGCGCAGGAGTGATTGTAGTTGTAAGAGGTGTGGTGGTGCTTGAACTGGTCGTATCACCTAGAAAAAGTGTTACAACGAACTCGCACACTAAATTTTACACCAGTCAATAACAAACTCACTTTGCCAATCGCATTGTAGTTGTTCTTGCGACCATACTAGATTATGTGGGCATGTTAGTAATGCTGAATTACCATTCGAACAATACCAAAATGTATGTGGATCATCAACATTCGAATACATTCCATCAACTTTATTGGTGCAGGTGAATGCACTGGAAACTGTTTGTATCCCAACGCAAACAGCTAGGACAATTACCACTCCGAGATTCATCGTTCTACTTTACAGTAAGATATTAAAGAAAAAATACGATCGTTTACTAACAAATACGTGCAAAACATGTGTCTATTTTCTCATACTAACATTGAAATATGCGTTGTAATATGTTATCATTATATTTTATTCACCAGATGAACATACATTACCACAGTGAGTAAAGACTAAAGACGAGATAATATCATAAAGTTTCCCAGCAAATTTCAGAATAAATTCGACTGTAGGCATTCATATGCCATACTTAAAATCGTAAAGTGCAGGTATATTGAAACAAGAACTTTATAACAATAAAATCAAGAAAACTGTTTGTGCCAAAAGTTGTTTTTCGTCATGTTTCTTGCACCTTCTAGAATCTAGGGTGATATTTCCATTAAAGACAAAAACATAATGTAAAAAACGTTAAAGTGTTGAAATCAAAAAGTACACATTTCCGGTACAAAAATGGCACCAAACAGAACACATATGCAATCATAAGAAAAAAAATTGACGTCACAATCTGTAGTGTAGCATAAAAGTGAAGTAAGTGTACTTACAGTCACACTGGAATTTAAGAAATCGTTAAGAAGTCCTTTAAAGGTCAATTCAGGTTGAAAATTTGTGATAAGAATAATCATCAAAATAAATTATTATCATTGATATTAAATTAAAAATAACAGTCCGAACTTTGATCACTTAGGAAGATTCATCCTCCTAAACTACAAAATCCTATGAATGAGATAACATGATAAAGATTAGTTTTTGCTATAAAAGAGAACAAACTATATCCTTGTGCAGTAAAGTACACATTTTTGCTTGGGGCGCCAGGGGTTTGACTAAACGAATGTAGAACCCGAGTTGTTTACAACTGCTTGCATTTGCATTGTATTTCTGTATCGCTTGAGTGGAATATGTTTGCCTTTTGCACGTATTTTAACAAAATTTGAAAAGTTATTTTTATGAACGTAAGCTTTTCTGTGGTTTGTATCAAAAGTTTGAAATCACAGAGACGCCAGTTTTCATTCATTCATTTTAGCGGACGGCTTCTAGTAATCGGCTTTCTTTTTTGGTGTATTTCTACTTTCATATCAATGAATTAAAAACAAAGTGGTTCGACCTTTCAGATATGCAATTCACATTATCAGTTATTTTAAATTACTTCACATCAATTTATTTCAGTCTTACTGGTAGTATTCAGCGTAGCCATTATTATATTCATCCCGGCATCCTTCCAACGCCCGACAGCGCATAAACTTTTCGAAACTGTTTATCACTGCGTTGTTTCCTTCGCATGTTTTATAATGAATAAAGGACGGGTCCGTAGAAGCTAAAGAATCGGCCCACTTTTTTTTTTGCTCAAAATGGTCCTGAGACTAACAGAAAACCAGGAACATTCGATTTTGGGTGCTTTCGAGTGATTAAAGCCCTTCCATCCCGATAGGATCTTCACTTGGAAGCGGCCATTATGGAGTACTATTAAAATCTTTCTCATGCGCTTTTCTCTGGCACTATAGGAGCATATAAAGGAATCAACCCATAATTAGAAAGCTCTTTCAATTCTCTGCAAACCGGTATATTCAAAATATCTTCGTCGATTTGCAAAAGATCATTAAGTTCGACTTAACAAGTATGACTAGAGAAAAATGCGATCTGGAGATCATTAAGCTAACTTTTTTCGAAAAAACGAAAAAGCCCATTTTTCTAAAATAGTGCGTTTTATAGCTCTGTCAATTATCTACAAACCGGTATATTCAAAATATCTTCGTCGATTTGCAAAAGAGCATAGGATCTTTGGTTGTTCCATACCTGTTGGCGTTTGTTAGTGATAATAACAGTAGAGTTAGTCTGGGATTCAAGAAAAACGCGAAAATACGTTTTTTGTAGCGTTCAGGCATGTTAGCATGTGTACGGACTCGTTGATATATGGAAATGCATGTATGATAAAAATGTGATTGTTTATCATAGATGTAGCATGTTTGATCACGAGGATTCGACAGGAACGAAAAAAGTTTAATATAGGAAAAGACGTGGATGAATTTGACATTTGTGACGTGGAACGGAAAAAAGAGAATTCGTTGACTATCGTGAAATGTGCTAATAGTTTCGTTTTGTTGCTGGCCATATACTACTGGATAATGCATGAAACCTGTGTTGGTTGTAATCGGAGATTTGACGGTAAGCGTAAGAAGCGAAAAGTATCCTATGTACTCGAACAAGCGTTCTTGTCTGCTCGATATTTGAAAAATGTTTCTGTCGGTTCATATATGTGTGATTCCAAGTGTCGTCTTGAATATCTTAAATGGTTAAAGTATAATAATGAATTACAGTGTTTATTGAATGAAGGTACAGTAATGTCAGATAAAGTGAGTTTTATAACACATATATTGAATATAACAACGGCATTCTAAATTCAATTTCCGGATGGTTTTGCACTTGTACAGCTGGCGAACGAACTGTCGGTTGCTGCAGTCACATCGCTGCCACTTTGTGGCACCTTTGCTTGAATCAGACGGCTATCCATGACATTAATCAATCACCAAATAATTATTTTAATCTTGTAGAAGATGCTTTACAGTTTTCTGATTACGAGAATTCGTCCGACGAGGACGATGACACAATATTGTATCAAATAAACATGCTGCTTTTATTAAACTGAACTATAATGTATTCTCACTCATTTGGTTTTTATTGTCCTTTTACTTAAAATCCAGTTAGTTGTACACTCTGTTAGGAATAGAATCGAACCAGTTAACTACTTCCTCTCTCAAAAGGAATAAAAGACAAAGGCTTGCGATTTCCATCATTCGCTAGCCGAGGCCTGAACCTATGTTCTCATAAGCCAAAGCAAATCTAGAACAAATTTCAAAGACCCGTTTTTCAGGAGATCTGTGGAAAACCAGTTCGGTTCTGTGAAAACAGACATAGAAATCTATGAACTTTTTTCATAGATATATAGTTTGAATTGTCCTCGACAAAACTAGATCCAATTGGCATGTTGAAAATCCATGGTTTGAGCTATGGACGTTTTTCTGAAGCCTTCGCATTCCTCTGCCATTAAGCTTTTACATTCACACACGCACGCCAACTCAATTTCTCACATGCAGACAAAAACAAAAAAATTTAAAGCAACACAGAACAAATAAAAGGAATTGAAGAATTCAAAGAGCAAAAATAACTGGTTGGAGAGGGAGAGCACAGTAATTAATTTCCACTGAGTGTGTATCTTATCTTAGACAGTTGACAGTAAAAATTTGAGCTCGAACTATTGAGTTTCTGAATGAGAAAAGTAGGTGTCCGTGAGTCCCAGGTGTCTTCTGCAATTCTAATGATACAGACTTCGAGGTGGTGTCAAAATGGTTTCGACTGACCGAAAGAAAATATATGACCGGCCAACCGGTCAGTCCGGCTCCGTCAGAAGGTCTTCGATCGGTTACATCTATGGACAACTCACTGTAAGTAAGTTCTTTTTTAAGAATAATCGATTTGTAGAAAATACACTTATGAGAAATACGCAGACGAAATCATTGTCATATTTTTATTTTTGATAATAAATAATGTTGGCCATGTTAGTGAGTGCTCAATTGAGAGAAGAAATATATGATGTTCGTCGGTAGAAGCTTTAGCTATTGTAGCAGATCTAGAAGAGAAATATTACTAGAAATATTAAGAACGTCTCCAACAACCAATACCTTGTTATCTTTAATGAGTCAAAGCATCTTGCAAGAGTCCTGTACCTTTCGGCCTCGATGCCAAAAGGCGAGCACCAAAACTAGGAGAACAGAAACGTCTTAAAAATTTAACCGATTTCTCTCCGCACCTGTGTCTTTCTTGAAAATTCGAGTATTTATTCACCGTAACTTACTTGAGTTAGAAGTGTACACTTCAACAAACAAAAAGAATGAAACTAGAGAGCTGCGTGTCTGTATTGTCTCATCTAAAACAAACACGAAGGACTGGCAAAAAACGTGGGTGTTAAAAATGAAGGAATGTTTTTGAAAAGAAAGAAAGAATGAGAAAAAAATGAATTCTTTCTCTCTAGAACGCCAGAGATTTGACTAAACGAATGTAGAACCCGAGTTGTTTACAACTGCTTGCATTTGCATTGTATTTCTGTATCGCTTGAGTGGAATATGTTTGCCTTTTGCACGTATTTTAACAAAATTTGAAAAGTTATTTTTATGAACGTAAGCTTTTCTGTGGTTTGTATCAAAAGTTTGAAATCACAGAGACGCCAGTTTTCATTCATTCATTTTAGCGGACGGCTTCTAGTAATCGGCTTTCTTTTTTGGTGTATTTCTTACTTTAATATGAATGAATTAAAAACAAAGTGGTTCGACCTTTCAGATATGCAATTCATATTATCATTTATTTCAAAGACAGTCTTCATTCTCTCAATAGTATCTTAAACAACATGGTACACATTCTCTCTCACACACTCACAACCATGTCTGCTGTTCATTCTCTGTTTGCTCTTTCACTCTATCTCTCACAGACATCATCTGTTCTTCTACTTCCTTTGAAAACAAATCTGTCTTATCCAACTGTAAAAGTGCATCAACAAAGACAATAAACTGCACTGTATCCAACTGTTTTCCATAATATTTCTCTCTATGCTTGTCACAAAGAAACTCATATTCCTGTCGATAATACATTTTCAAATGTCTTGCATAGAGAACGAGAGACGTACCGGTATGAAGTTCATTGTAGAGAAGCTCGAGATTCGAATGAATCTGATTTGTGATGAACCATTGATGAAGATCTTCTTTTGTCCACTGTCCAACTGGATTCTTCTCGTTTGTTTCTTGTAGTTGTTGTTTTTGTTCGAGTACTGATGGTGAAGGAAGTACTGGTTGAGGCTTTTGTGGATCACTAATCATCGACACAAGCTCACGAACACCTAGATCAAGTGATTTTCGACCAAAATGAATATATTTTTGCCCGGCAATACGAATACCAAGCCATCCATTTGCTTTGTAATTCTGCTGTACAGTGTTCGTATAGATTGGAATAATACGTTTCTTCAATGCATCACTTGCATACGACAGTTCTTGCCGGCATGATTTACTATCATAATAATCTTTTGAAACGATGAGAATGATGATAGAGGCTAGTTCAATTGCACGTGCAATCTCTTCCCAAATATCATCGGAATGTGAGATGCTTGAACGTGATGAATCTTGATGATAGTGAAGGAAATCGACCCACAAGTCAAATTCATTATGAGTCTGAAGTTTCGCGACCAACTCCTTACAGAACGGCGTATCAACATGTGAATAACTAATCATAGCCATTGGCCGTTGACGCATCAGCGTAGGTGTTATTGGTGTCACAACTTTCTCTTCCAGATTCCACAAGATTCCTTCACATGCTTTTCTTATCGATGAGAGATGTCTCGGTTCAGAAGCTGCATCAAGCTGTTGAATTGCAAAGTCTCCTGATGATAGTCTGTCGATTAACTTCAATATTTCCGTCTTCTCTTTCAGCTTCTCTTTGTATTGATCGTGAAAGGAAATACTCCAGAGAATGTTACACAGCGCGATGACAGCTAGATAGTTCAATACCGTTATATACTCATGTTCATCTGCTGCCGACGGCTGACGGCAGTGTATCTGAATGAGTAACTGACAGAAGAAGTCAAGACAAGTGGGCGATTCGCCGAGACAGTGGAGAAGAACACTATCGTTATTGAACAGTTTTGTTAAGACGATAAGTGGTTCTGAGATATGAAAACAATTGTAAAAATAGAATCCGTTTGTGTGCTGTGAAGCTGTGATTATCATTTGTAGAATTTGTTTGATGATCCTTATGAACCGTTCATTACTGAGAAGGGTATTATTTTTCAATGTTTGTGGCTCCAAGAGAAGGGCATAGATCATTGTCACTGCCAGTTGTACTTCCTCATAATCATTATCATTGAAGTTTGTCTCTTCGCGTGGCCGCTTCAAGCGATGCATCACAGTTGTCATTTTCAGTTCATTTAAACGGTCAGACCCGCCATTGTGTCGACTAATATTGTGTATGACTCGAAGAATGAGCTGAAGGGAATTGTATGAGGGGTTTGGTACAGAAATCCATTTGACGCAGGCTTCAGCAATACCACAGTCGAGCAGTAGCGGGATCAGCGTTGTCTTTCTCGTTGTAATTTTGAAGAAACGAATGATTTCAAGTGATACGAGTGATTTGAATTCAGAATCTTGTAGAGAATAATCCATTAGAGCTTGAACGAGTGTTTTTGACTGCTCCAGATGTGCTCTCATCTTCAGGTGACAACAGGAGACTGAAAGAACTGAGAGAATACGACCAAGGACTTGATCGTAGAAGTCATCGTAGTCATGTTTTTGAAGGTATGTAAGAATGGTCGAGGAAGAAATCAGTAAATTCAAATAGAGTGGAAATATTTGTCGAACATAGTCTATGTGAGAGAGGAAGAATGAGTAGGGATCAGGTTGGAAGACAGTGTTAACGAGCTGAGTTGAGAGGAGTTGAACGAATGGAAGTAAGTGTGGTGAAAGTGATTTAGGATTACTCGCAGACCTAACGATGTCAGCGATCGTAAGAAGTTTAGTCAAAATTGGATGTAGGACGAAAAAGAGTGATTGCGGTGGAATGTCTTTTTGAAGGGTAGGAAGGAGTGAGGTTAATTTTGTTGAGAGACGATCGAGATACGGCAGGATACAGTCACAATCATAGGAGGACTGTGGTGACAGTAGCTGTTCGAGTTGACTATAAATGTCGACAAATTCATCGATGGAGCGAGAATAAGGAGTAGAAGGAGTCATTGTGTGATCTATAACGATTGAAAAACACATCTTAAACGAGCTGTATTTGGCCTTTCAAATCGTTCAGTTTCTCAGCAAAAGGCTGTAAATCTTATGTCAGGTTATACCAGGGATCCGAATGGAATGCGACGAATTTTCGAACATTTTTGTCCCATGCGACGGGATGAGACGAAATTTTTTCTGAATGGGAGTTCGTGGGATGAATTTTGCATCTCATTTCGAAGAATAATCTGCTTTTTGTCAAAATTTTACTAAAAAAAACTCACAAAACTTTTGTTGTTAATTCTCAAAATCTTGCTTAAAATAACGTTGTAACAAGGATGAAAGACGGTAAAAGAACAAGAAACCTTTGCGGATGCCAAACCTGAATTTGTTTTTTAAAGATTGTTTTTAAGTACTTCTATATGCGATCGGCTTCCATGGAACTGGTCGAAATTTTTTGAAATCAATCGAATAGAATAGGAAGGATTTGTCAACTTCCTTCCATGGGATGATTTTTCTCTTCTCATCACATCCTATTCGGAGTCCTGAGTTCTACTTACCGTGCTATTACTTACTTATATAATCTGAACACAAAATATTTCTTCAGCAGACTTTATATATTTTCGATTGTACAAATATTTCTCAACGTGGTACCACTAAGGCGGAATGAATTAGTAAAAATACACCGTCGAGGGCAATTTGCTTATTCAATCGAGTTTTTTCAAAATTGCACTGTTAATAATAGTAGATTATATAAGTAGAACCTTTTTGTTTTCTACTGCCATCATTCTGACGCAGCAGAAAATTTTTTTCTTCACGTTCACTGATTGATACACTTAGTTGCACGGACGATTATTACTCATGTATGTTTATTCTATTGATTTTTCAGGTAAGGACGTCGTTCTTTTGTCCTCTTTATTTCTCAGTCCTCTGGTTACTGTATAACTCTGTAAATGCTTGTATTCTAGTTTCTGTATTATTTTGTTGTCTGCTTTTACTACAGAGTTGAGATCCCATATTACTAATTTTTGTGAGTTCTGTCATATGACAGATTGTGTATCTTGAGTGTATTTTCTGTAGAGTTGAGAGATATGATGATTTTGGTACAGCACAAGAATTTTAGCCTCTCAGACATTTTACTCTAAAGTCATAGAAATTCTATTCAAGGCGCTAAATTGTACATTTACGTGTGTTTTTGACTTAAATCCCCATTACTTCAGAGTAGCTTATATAAAGTTCTTATGCAACCATTCGTAATTTTTCGTTTGCATAAAAGTGTATTCTAAAGAATTTAAGATAGAGATGGATGACTAGTAAAGATTACAGATCTAAAATAGGTAGTGAAATTCTTCCAATAAATGTGGAATCGTATAATACAAAATATTTCTACTAAGTTGTACGAAACCAGATCTGTCACAGTAACGAAATCTTATTTTGATATAAAACATTATTTAATATGCATTTTGTTTTAGACTGGCTTCGTACTGAGCTTTCTCTAAAAAAGAGGAATGGAGAAATCGCAAAATCATAAAAGGAGGAACGCCATCAAAAAAGGAAGATGTAAATCCTAAGTTAAAAACACTAATTGATTGAGATGATACTAATATTTTATGTACATACTACTGGTCTTAGCATTCGTTTCGATTCCCTAACACAAAATAATATTCGTTATCTCAATTTTTCCAAAATCAATTAATCAGAATATGATTTTACATATTAACAAAAAATCTTAAATATATTTAATCATTACAATTATCAAATGATTATTGTTTTACACTAGGACAAATACAATTATTTCTCTTACAATTTCAGTTATTTAATTATTTTATAAATCTTATTCATTGTCACTAGATATTAGTGATACATATGAATTAATAGAATATTGTTTAAAACAAGCCAAATTACCCTCCTTCAAAAATGAATAATTTTAACATCATCAAATTTTCATACATATAAACAACTTTATCAGATGTCAATAACAAATAATATACCATTAAAATATTTATCATTGAAGAATACAATGATACAATACAAAATATTGTCAATAACAATTTATAATTTATAATCTTTATCGATCAATATTCTTAGTTTTGAAGATATAATAATATTTAAATCAAAGCCCATGCTAAAATATATAAATATTCAATTAATAGGTGGAAATTCTTATATCACCACTTTTCCAGTTTTGCTATTACTAATACAATAATTATTATAATGTAACTATATGCATTTTAATCAAATAGAATTTTTATTTAAAAAGTTAAAAAATTTACAATGATTATGATTATATACAACTTCTAATAACAATTATTGTAATGATAAACAGTGGAAACATTTGATATCTATATTCATTCCAATTTTTATTTCATTCTTATCAAATAAATTTTGTTTAGCATGTGGACATATGCCCTAAACTTGATACGAAAGTCTGTAAGCGCTTTTTTTATAGGTTTTCGTATGTACTCTTTTCAATGGCATAATTGTTAAACTTTGAAAGTATGTTTGTACAGGATTTCCAGAGATCTAGTCTCTAGAAAACAAGTAGAAACTAGGGATGACACTTTATCAGTTACTCGTTAAGTTTCCTAGTTAGCTACTTCGTTGCTACTAACGAGTAATTGCTTCGTAACTTAGTTACTCGTAACGAGTAACTCAATTCGTTACTTCGTTACTTTCTGGAGGAGTAACGAAAGTAACGAAGTAACGAAATAAGTTAATAGTAACAAGTATCTAAGTTCCTTACTGGTTACAAATAAAGTAAAGGTAAAGTGCCTACCCTAGTAGAAATATACTTTCAAAGTTTGAAAATTAAGCCATTGGAAAGAGCGCATATGAAAACGTATACAAAAAGCGCTCAGACGCTTTCTCTACACGCTTATGGCTCATGTCCATCTGCTCTAGCCAGAGTTGCCCCAGTGTGCATAGGGGAGGAGAGAAATGAGAAAGAATTCAGCTCAAAACAGACAAACCTATGCCTTTTTACTGTTATTGTGCCATTAGTGCTTTTTTAACGAATTAAAAATTTCAATATTTTCAATTTTTCTACTACAAACTTTTTAAGAAAGAGCTAAACACACGTTTTCGTAACCAGCTCAATGAGCTCTATCCAACTTTATAGGTTAATAAAATGACTAATGTTTAAAAAAATCGGTTTCAATCCAAAGAGTTCATCGACTGTCGCGGCTAGAACTAGACCCATTCGACTGCATATTAGACATTTTGTAAACCTATACAGGTGTTTGCTTAAGAGATATAGGCAAATATTTTATCTCATTCCATTCATCATACCACCAGCGATAGAAGCATGGATCACTTTTTCTTCTTTTCTTTTCAGTGTTGAGAAAAAACATTTTTACTGCTACCATATGAAAAAGCAGAAGGTTATGTTTAAATAAAATGACTATTTTTTACTCAAATGGAGCTAAAATCTACCCGAAAATGTAGGACGATTTCTTGACGGAATCCCAGGAAACAAAAATATAAAAGCATGAATTTGAAAGCTGTGCCTTAAACGTTTGCAGGACCATCGCCTAGTTGCGGTCATCGATACAGAAGTCATAAGAGCTTTTTTTTGTAATATCGTTCTTTTGATATTCAGAACACTAAAATCTCTCTTGTAAAAGTGAATTATGGGCCTTAGAGAGTTTTAATTGCAGTTCGATACAGTGTGTCCTGTAGCTCGATGAATTGTGCGTTTGTTTCTTTTAACCGTGGGCAGTTTTTCGGTTTATATTGTCAATAACACTTGAAAACGTTATCTGGATGTAAATACTTTTTTCTTTCTCTTCACCTATTATATCATAAAAAACAACTCAGGATGCACATACATTTTTTCCCTTTTCGTTACTGAAAATAAAAAGTGATGTATTTTTTGTGTTCCGTTATTCTCAAGTGACTACAACATTCATCGATAGAGTATGTCTGCTGGTATCCTCAAAAAACAATGTCAGATTCAACGCTATGCTCAATCTGTGGCCACCATTCTGTGGTTGTCAGAAAAATGTTTGCAGCAAGCACTTTAATGACCACATTGAAACAATTAAAGATCAACTGCATCCACTAGTCGAACAGATAAATGAAGTGGCTGAGAAAATTCACGACTTAAAAATTGAACAGCTGACGAATAAAGCCTATGAAGATTTAGATCAATGACTTACGGGCATTCATAAGTTGATCGATGATATTTATTCAATGAAGTGTCCTGCAAAAATCAAAGAATAATAGACGAAATTTTCTTTTATCTAAAATGAAGGTATGTGTGCCTTTGGTCGAAAACTCAAAACATCGAAAGTGCAAATGCAGAATGTATAAGAATGGCGAAAACTTGACATGTAGAAAATGCAGAATGTCGAACAGTAAAAACGACGGAAATGTGAGTTTTTAAAAGTGGACTCGTATCTCCAAAATATTTCTCGTTCATAATTCTGCCGATAAGTCTGCAAATCTTTTGTGCACACGGTCATTTTGTTCGTGAAATATTTTGCCGTTCTGTTTCACTGCATTATAAAGAGCCTTAGGATGCACTTTCAAGTTTTGAGTAAATGTTCTGATCATTACTCAGTGTGACCTTCAAAGTCAGAACTGACCTGGCTACAAAATATCGAGAAAAGTTGCAGTTTTCTCGCAAAGCAAGAGAAGTACTTTTGAGAAAACTGCCTAAAATTTTGTAAATGATAAAATGGCTCACCCATTCTTCTGAAAAAGATTGTTTCCTATTCGTCGGCAACTTTATATAAAATTTAAGTGAAATATTCTGTGGGTTTGATAATGATTGTAGTCGACGCGGATTATGAAAAATACTCAGCTGAGGTAGAACGTAAAAATCTTTGTTCTCGAAGCTCACTAATTTCACAGTTGAAACTAGTAGTTTGATTTCTTGTGAAAGTATGGTGACGAAATCTTTTGTTTGACTCCATCTAGCATAGTATGTGGATCGTCGCCACAACAGTGACCAGAACAGGGCTATTCGTAGCTGCAAGATTTCTCAGCTGTGAAACGTTGTGGAGAGCTCGGTCTGGTACTAAGTTGACGAAAACTCATATGGCTAGAGGATAACAGAACCAGATTTTTTATATTTCATTTTTCAAATTAATGGTCAGCTTTAAATGTCTAGCGTTGGAAAAAGTCTCATTAACTTGCATAAAGATATTTTCTGCTAATCACAAATCTAGATCGAATACCAAAAATTGGTCTCTGTTAGAAAGCCACATGTGTTAGCTTCAATTTAAGGCCTTACGGAGCTCTCTACGATGTTTTGTTATCGAGAAAACTTTCCAAACCGGCAAAAACCGGCTGATTTATTAACTTTTTTAACGAGTGAGAATCAGTGCTTTTAAAACGAATTCGTTTTTCTCAATCTGCATGGACTTTTACGTCGGCTGAATGTGTTTTTTAAGGGAGAAAAACAATCTAATTCGAGGAAAAAGGAGTTGAGAAGAACAGGAAAAACTACAGCTTATATTCTGACGGTTTTATTGTTTTGATAAAGGCACTAAACTTGTTCTCAGAAAGTTCAACTGGTGAAAAACCGGCCGGTTTACACAATTTCCTTCAACTGGTAAAAGCTGGCGGAAATGGGCTGGTTGAACTAATTTAGAGTCGAGTCATACACTCCCCTAATAGTTCACCCCTAATAGTGTTTAATAGAACTTCTTGTCAGCACTGTAGATGATACACCCTCCCACCCAGAAATAGTGTGAAACATAAGATAAAGAAAATACAACACAAAAATACCTGTGATTTGATTACGGCTTCACAATGTTCTGACATCCATTTTGTTCTGTCTATGTAGACGACAAAAATGTGTGTGCGAAAAGGAAAAGAAAAAAAATGAAAAAAGATAAAAGATATTTAAAATTTACTATGGGAAATCGCAGGACACGTCTAAGTTACGTGGCAACGTGGTACAGTTACACAGGTAGAAGTGAGGTGGATGATTTCTATTCATTCTTTTCGCATATAAATAAACAGAACATTTTATATGTTGACTACATTCATTCCTCGTTTAAAAAGCTCATAGAAAGAACTAGTTCGATAATTAATTCAGCATTCAGGTAAACGTTTCTGCTTTACTATCCTTTTTGGGGCAATAATGGATAGTTCGTTTTTGATTACAAATGTTGACATTTTCAGATTTGAAGTAATAATTTAATTGATGATGATATATTCTAGGAGACACTTGTCGGCATGGATTATTTATCACTGACCTATTTATTCGTACTTATGACTCCTTTAACAGTGGCTGCATCCCAGTTCCCCGTTCAGTTATCCATTAGCCAAGAAAAAAAATTTTTTCCTCATGAAATATCTACGTATATTCAGCATGTTAATGTTCAGATTAAAACTGGTCAAAGTGTTCAAACTCATTCAAAACCACCACAGGAATTATTCTTAGTTCTCGATACATCAGGCAGTATGGCTAGTGGAAAGAAATGGACAAACGCCGTACTTGCCATTGAAAGTATTATTCGTAACATGAATAGTGAAGATAAGTTACATTTGATTCAATATAATTCCCGCTCATCTATTGTGTTTGAAAACGAAAATGATCATCGAATAATGCTAAATGCTTTACATGCACTGTATCCAACCGGTGGTACGAATTTGATGACTGGTTTTGACCAGGCAATTACTCTGGTGAAGAAATATTCTGAACGACTGACCTTAAAACGATTATTCTTATTTTCGGATGGGCATATAAATGAAGGCGTTACACAACATACGCAACTTTTGAAAGAAGTAACATATATGAAGACGATATATGAAATAACAATTTGTTCATTTGGTATTGGTGCTGATTTTGATGAAAAATTAATGACTAATATTGCTGACCATGGCTCAGGGGACTATTTTTTTATACAAGGTGCAGACAGTATGAAAAAAGTCGTTGACATTGCATACAAAGGATTTCAATCGGTGATGGGTACAAATGCCTACTTGAAAATAACAACAAAAAATGATGCACATATTGTGGACGTTTATGGATATGAATTAAAAAATGATGAAAATCAAATAATATCAATCGGAGATATTCGTTATGATGATATGATGAACATCTTACTTCAGACTGAAGTTAAAATAACGGAAAAATTACTTGAACAAAGTGAGATTGATTATATGATTATTGAATTATGGATGACGGACGTTGTTGACCGTTCGTCGAAACTTGTTACCAGCAAATCAGTTCTATTTTCATTTAGTAAAAATGAAGAAGAATTAAAGGATTTAAATAAAGTAGTTGCACGTCTTGTCGAATTACAACAAATACAACGACGTGAAAAAGAAGTTACCAAACTTCTAAGAGCACAACGCGTGCAAGACGCAATGAAGCTGAAACAGAAATTAGCCAAAGAACTTGAATTCACAAGTAAGACTCTAGATGAGGAGAGTGCATTTGATGGTGAAGATCTTACGACATTTGAATATGCAAAGGACCAAGCACACACAATGAAACGACGATCGAATGATATGGTTTCTTCATTCAGCAGTGGCATCATGACAGATGCTGAACTAGCAAAACAAAATGAATATTATACAAAATTAAGTGAGAAGTATAAAAAAGCGCATCATGATTTATAATTAAATAGTTAGTTATAACGTTTGTCTTATCTATTTCTGAGTCAAGTATTGTATTTCATATTTTCTTGAGTTTATCTTCGGTATTCGTATTACCTATAGCATTCTTGCCATTTTTGCCGACATAAAACTTATTATTCACAATCTTAACTGTTCCATCATGCATGTTCTTAAGTAGAAATACTATAGATCAGGGACGGTGGAACCATGGGAACCGTGGATGCTTTGGCACGCACAGATTTTAAATATATAAAATCTGTGGGTGCTCAACACGCACAGAATTTGTAACGTAGAGACAAGCAGTTTCCACAGCACAGATTTTGTGCTCTCATAGTTAATCTTGGATATATAGATGCACATCAATGTATGAGTATGCGGCAAAGATTTATCACACAAAGCCAATCCTCGTACAGACAACAGACAACTGAACAAATTTCACTTATGCAGAAAAATACTGCAAAAGTAAACTCTGACGTTCTGTCATATATCATGCACAACGATTGAAGTTGTGCAATAGGCGTAAAAGCAAGTAGAATTTCTCGTATAAATAAAGGTCGGCTGTATACTACTCGTTAAGAGTGATACTGACCGTTAAAGTATTGCACAACTTCAATCGTTGTACATGATATATGACAGAACGTCAAAGTTTACTTTTATTTTAGTAAAATTTGTTCGGTTCGGTCTGTATAAGGATTGTCTTTGTGTGATAAATCTTTGCTGCATATTCACTCATACATTGATGAATTATCTAGCCCAAGTAAAAACTATCTAACAGATGCACATGCTGTAAACAAACCTTGAAGTTTTGCCTGAAGTTTTTCTAGACCAGATGTCATCTAAGTTTCGTCTAAGCAGCTCTTAAATTTGCCTGGTCAGTACTCCAATTTTGCTTGTGAGTAGATAAAACTAGAATCTAAAACTAGAATTTAGGTTTTGCTGGGATATAGTTAGAAATTAATTTACATTCAATCTGAGAATATTACTGATTTCGATCATGGTCCGGTCAATTAGTACGCGATTCAAAGGAAGAACGCAGTAAAAAATATTGTGTCGCATTTTGTATCGCAGTAAAATGTGTCGCAGTTCCTGTAAGAAAATTGTGTCGCAAAAGAATGTGTCGCAAAAGAATTTGTCGCATAATTGTGTTGCCGTTACTAAGAACTTTCAGACACAGTTCTTGAGGTCATTTCAGGATCTGCTCTCTTCAAAAAATTGCTAAATTTTATGTTTTACTATTTTCAGCAGTCTTCATTAGTA